TCATTTATACCTCGATTTTTTCATAAGGGCAGTTTTGCCAACCTTATAATATTTTTTTTTAATATTAGATATTTTTTAATTCAAAATATTACCTATTGTTTCGGTGGGGACTGGGGTCCTTTGTATCCACCGGACCCTGGGCTGCAGCCCAAAAAGCCCTTAAGTAGATTCGCCCCTGTGTACGAGGTTGTTTAACATACGCTTCAGCTCATTTTGAGGTGCTTTTCAGCCTGGTTGATTTCACTTCAAATTAACCAGGCTGATGAGGTGATTTCTAAGGTATACCAGGTTGCTTTTCTGGAACTTGCAACAAAAGAGGTATAAAAAATTTACCTTAATTCAAATAAAGAGAGTGAGGCATTTATTGAGGTGTATGAAGTCAATTTATTTATACCTAAGCTCATTTTGAGGTTGTTTTAAATTAACTTCTTATCAATCCGATTGATAAGGTGATTTATTAGGTATGCCATGTTGTTTGCAAGAAACTTATATGTAAAAAAGTCTTTAGAGTTATAAAAAAATTTACGCTTTTTCTACTAAAGAGAGTCAAGTATTTATTGAGGTGTATAAAGTCACACATTATCTATAATGTTGTTGTTGTTGTTAATTTACGTCGCACTAGAGCTGCACAATGGGCTATTGGCGACGGTCTGGGAAACATCGCGGAGGATGATCCGAAGACATGCTATCACAATTTTGATCCTCTGCGGAGGGGATGGCACCCCCGCTTCGGTAGCCCAACGACCTGCGCGCGAAGTCGAGCACCACATTATCTATAAAGTCATCATTAAATTATCAACTATTACAACTGAACATTTATTATAAAAAATGATTTTTTTACCCCAATAATAAGATAAACCCCAAGAATAAAGTAAACTTAAAAACCAGATTTCAGTTTTCAACAAAAAAATGAGAACTTTACTTCCTTCCTCTTACGGATGGGCTGCAAATAACAATCGAAATGGACTGCTGGTGGGGAAGACAACACCTACTCTAGATGGTTGTATTTATGGAGCAGCTCCACCTATGGCAACACTTCGCATGCTTTCCCCAGGAGCTCCTGGAGAGTCATAGAGGAAAGAAGTGCGCTAGTTTCAGTCTTGATTTTTATATAGATTAAAATCTTTTAAGTTGGGAAACTATATGGAACTGAAAAGTACATTAAACACAGTTCTAAAAGAAAGCATCATAGAAATTAAAAAAAAATAATTTCATTAATTAAAAACGAAAAATATCGCGGTACATTCCTATACAACTGAAGAGAGGAAGGAAACTAGAAGGTCCAAAAACATGGAACAAGTCTTCTCCCCAGATGGCGTATTCGAGCGTTGCAATCGTCCATATCTACGACACTGCAAAACTTGCAAAGTTTTGTAAATAAGAAACATTTGCATTTGTGACCCTTGGTTCTGGCAACACTCTGCGCTATCTTCTCGAGGCTGTTTTAAAAGTTAGTTTTGGTTGCTGAGTTGACTTATTCTAAATAAATATAGAATAATCGAATTTAAAAATTTGTTTACTATTTCTCTTGTATTTATGTAATATAATCTAAAATAATATTCCTGTTGTGATTATCTTAGCTTTAGTTAGTAAATTTTAACTTCTTAGTTGGCTTTTCTCCTTGATCTATTTTTTTAAAAGAATATTCTTCACTAAAATTGTTTTAATTTTGCTTCATCTTTTTTTTGTTGTTGTATTATTTCCTCCTAATTTTCTGCTGCAACCTATCATATATTGATTTATAAAATAACCTAACTTTTGGCCAGAATAAAACATTTGGGAATATAATATGTTGCTTGTAGTCTTGAAATAATATTGTCAGTGGTTTTGACAATAATATTTTTATTCTAATGTTTGCATCGATGTTTATTTTTGTTGTTCTTCCGATTTTGTAATTCATTAGAACAAATGGTTATTTCTGAAAATTTTGATCCTAAAAGTGCGCATTCTGACTGAAATAAGTAAAATTATTTTTTTTTCCTATTCTAATTTTATAAAAATAAATAAGATACATTTTGCTTAATTTTGGCTAAGAAATAGAATTGACAGGTTAAATGAAAATTAAAATTATTGAAACTTTTTAAATCATTAGTTTTTGAGTTTAAAATTTTGAAGAACTACTAATTTTTATTATTTTCAAACAGTTGAAACTTTAGAATTACTTGAACTAGGGAGCTAAACTTTGTGTCATTTTCCAAATTGACATTTTTAGTTTTTTTGAGCAAAAATATTTCGTAATTCTTTCTTAGCAATGTTTGTACCAAATATCAAGATTGTGTTCCTCTGAAATCATAATGGAAAAAAAATTTTTTTTTAAGATTAAATTTAATATAAACTACAGAGATTTTTTTTATAACTATCAGAAACACCCTGGAAAAATATTGAGCTATATTTTAAAGCTGATAAAAAGAAAGATGAAAACAAAAGTTTATTAAAATGAAATTGCAACCTGAAGGAAAAATTTGGAAAACACAAAAGTCCTCTGCATTTAATCCAGGGCAATTCACTGCAGTTCTAAATATATTTCCTGGACTAAAATTTTTCCTCACCACTTTTTTACATTCATTAGAAATATAAACTATTTTTGAAATGTTAACAAATTTGATAATTATGCAGAACTTTTTGGTGAACAAAACTATAAAAGAATGTAGAAACTTAATAATTGAAAGATATTTATTGCAATAATAAAAAATCAAAATAAAGTTGTCTTAACGCTTCAATATTTTAAAAAGCACAAATATTATAAAGGACAAGTAGGAGACTCAGTATATTTTGTTCTAAATCAATGAAAAATTCTGTTGCTTGTCATCAAAACACTTTCATATCATTCTTCATCGAGGCAGGATATTCTAAGCAAAATAAAACCTACTCGTAAGCAAAATAAAACCTACTCTATTGATGATCGCCAATGGTGAGCTGGTGACTTGAAATTTTGTGCCCTGGTTTAATCTAAATCGACTTAATATTCTTTATTCCTATTTTTGTTTTGTTCTTTTTGCAGGATATCAGTGGTTGTATGGTAATGAACTTATTTTAAAAAAAACTTAAATGGGCACAAATCAAAACTTTATAAAATTAAAAGACAATCTTAAATATTTCTCTTAGTTTTTTTCTTACCTCATTTTCTTCTAATCATTGCTCTTCTTACTGAAGAGAAAATTTCACGTTTTCTAAAAACTTGACTTTGACATAACTGAGAGTTTAAACTTGTGAAATTTTAACTGGCAATAAATAGGGGAATGTGTAAAAATTTTTTTTGAATGAAATGTTTGCTTTTTTTATATTTTAGAAAATTTGAGTTGCTTGATCTTTCCGAGGAGTTTAATTCCAGATAGTTAGGCTTTAACTCAAGTTTTTTATTTCCTTTACAGTTTTAAACATGAAACGAATTAAGTGCTATGGAAAGAAACAAACAAAGTTTATTGATACATCAAAAACTAATGCATTTTTTGACAATCCTAAGTTGCAGAAATGTAGGTGAGTTGTGATTTTAATTTCTTAGCAAAATTTTTTCTCTTGGGCTGTTTTTTTAAATATTTTTCACCACTTTTGTTTTAAAAGGGAGACTGATCATGATATGAAAGGCATTGAGGATCATAAGAAAAGGAAGGAACTACATAGTTTTTGCAATGTGTCGCCTCTTAAAACAAGCAAAAGTCATGAAAGTTTATTTGGATCTCTTATTTTTGAGCCACATCAAGATAGATGTTTTAAACTTAATCAAAGCATTAAATTAATAGAGAAGAAACCTCATTTAAAGGTGAAAAAATATAAAGGGAAACGAAAACAAAAAGGTAAAAATTCTTCTATGCCGAAGTATATTTCTACAAAAGGTGTACCAAACTGGTCAAGTATTTATCAACATCAGTTAGTAGTTAACAAGAATGCTTCGAGTAGACATATCTTAAATAATATTTGTGGTGGAAGAAGTCTAAGACAATCTTTTGCAAGTCCTTTTCCTAGGTCTTCACTTATTCGTCCTAAAAGTTTTAAGAGAAAGTTAATTCCTCACAAATCTCCTGCTATTTCTACAAGTTTTGTTAAAACTCAACAAAATCCTTCTAATTCTTCACTTAGTCATCTCAAAAATGTTGGCATATCTGGTGAAAAGCCTTTTTTACAATTGAGAGATTTGCGTGTTGTGTTGGAAAAATTGAAAATAGATCCTAACAATGATGTAGCATCAAATTCTGCTACTCCTTCTAATACTTCTAACTCTTCACTTAGTCCTCACAAAAATAGTGACTTATCTGGTGAAAAGCCTCTTTTGCAATTGAGAGATTTGCGTGTTGTATTGGAAAAATTGAAAATAGATCCTAACAATGATGTAGCATCAAATTCTGCTACTTCTTCTAATACTTCTAACTCTTCCCATAGTCCTCTCAAAAATAGTGACTTATCTGGTGAAAAGCCTCATTTGCAATTGAGAGAATTACGTGTTGTATTGGAAAAATTGAAAATAGATCCTAACAATGCTGTAGCATCAAATTCTGCTATTCCTAATACTTCTAACTCTTCACTTAGTCCTCTCAAAAATAGTGACTTATCTGGTGAAAAGCCTCTTTTGCAATTGAGAGATTTGCGTGTTGTATTGGAAAAATTGAAAATAGATCCTAACAATGATGTAGCATCAAATTCTGCTACTCCTTCTAATACTTCTAACTCTTCCCATAGTCCTCTCAAAAATAGTGACTTATCAGGTGAAAAGTCTCCTTTGCAATTGAGAGAATTGCGTGTTGTATTGGAAAAATTGAAAATAGATCCTAATAATCATGTAGCATCAAATTCTACTACTCCTATCAGTTTTGACTTTTTTAAAAACAAACACAACTTTTCCAGTCTAAATAATATTCCATATGCTAGTACGCCTGCCAAATCACTTAAAAAGCTTCATGGTGGATATATTAATAATGTTGACTTAAGTCCCATTCTTAAATATGAGCATAAAAGAACAACTAAACAGGCCTTTACTTTTGAGGATTCAGTTTCTTCACAAGTTTCGGCATCAATCGCATCTAGAAGAAGTGTAAATCCTGCAAAGCAAGGAATGTCAAAGAAATTGCATCTACCTTTTAAATCTTTCTCAAATATTGAGCGATCAATATATCTGCAAAGCCACAGCTCCATTAAAAAGGTTAGTTATGTTGCTTATTTCTAGTTTGTATTTTGTTTTGGCAAAACATTGAATTCACATTATTAATGAAAATTTCAATCCTTTTTGTTTTTATAAAATCTTAATATCTTGAATTATTTTAACTACTTCTTAATACTGAAAATTCAAAAACGTCTCTCTAGCCCGTGGTGCAGCTCTAGTGCGATGTAAATTAACAACAACAACAAAATGTCTCAATTATAAAAATATCAAAATCTTTCATTAAAAGCTGGTATTTCCAACAGTAAAAAAAGAAAAAAGTTTTAAACAGAAAAGCTGTTGCATTGCAGTGGAACACAGTAAAAAATCATCAGTAAATTTTCCTTTTTTCAATATTTATATATGGGTCATTCTCACAAAAACAGTCATTTTCATGTTTCCAGTATATTTTATTTTTGGTTTACGGCTTACGAAAAAAAAAAATCCAGGGAAAGTGTCCTTCAGAATGCAAGCTAACAAAAGAATAAAAATAAAATTATGAATTTTTATTTTTTATTTATTTTAGATAATTAAAATATACCAATATGTCATTCCCTCACTTGGCCCCACTGCTGATTTAAAAAAAGAAAAAAATTGTTTCTGAAATAAATTTTTTTTTTTTTACAAATTCGTGTTTTTTATTTCAGAATACTGAAATATAGAATTCAGAAAATCAATTTTAAATTAATTTCTGATAAAAATATTAACACAGCACTATTTTAAACTTTGTCCCCAGTGTTTCGCGTCATTCCCTCACAACAATGTTCTTATCACCTGCAATCTTCTTAGAATAAAAATATTTTAATAAAAACTTCAGAAGTTAACAACTGGCATCATAGAACAAAATTGCAGTATGTTTCCATCTTCAACTTAAAGAAGCTTTGCTGTGGAATAAATTTGAATGAATCAAACCAGGTAAAATTTTTTACATTTGTCATTCCCTCATGTCATTTTTTAGAGTAAAATAAAATACAACTTCATCGAGAAAGTGGATAATTATATGTTGCTTTCTTGTATGAATATAATTGTATGTGATTGACTTCAGAAATTAATTAGGCCTAACTGTTATTTTTAAATTTTATTGAATTCGTCATTCCCTCACTAGTGTATAAAGTGAGGGAATGACGCTGAAGTGAGGGAATGATTCAAGATGAGTATATTATTAAATTTTTTTTTGTTCAATCGTGCCAGCCAATTTTATTTCCCAAACCTGTAAAAACTATTAAATATATAAGACTAAATTATAATAAATATTAGATATACTTAGTATGTTATCATTTTCAAACTTTAGGTAGATGTAACTTAGATAAAAACATGTATTAAAATAAAATATCATTCCCTCACTATTAGTGTCATTCCCTCACTTTTTAAATAGTGAAAATAATTAATTTACTTATTAATTAATTTGAAAAATAAATTAAAAAATTAATAAATTAATTTATTAAATTAATTAATTTATTTATTAAATTAATTAATTAATTATTAATTATTATAAATTAATTAATTATAAATTAATTATTTAAAAAATTAATTAATTTAAATATTAAGTATCATTTATAGGATATATACTTTCTTTATAATGCCATTACATATTTCTATTAATATAAAAAGTTTCAGAGCTTTTTATTCACTTTACTTTTTTGGGATTTTATGAACTGAAAAATGACAGTTTTCGTGAGAATGACCCATATATAGTTAAACCAATTATATATAGGGTAAGTCTGAGCACAGCAGGGTAGCGAAAGAGGGGGAAGCTTTTTAATGCCAGGTTGTTGCTTTTGTGGCAAAATGAACCAAAATGTAAATTTTCAACCACTGAAGTCTGGGTATTTTAAGCATCAATGGTATAACTCATGATTAGACTCCTTATTATCCCTTTAAGATGTAAATGTACCTAAATATAGGGCAAACACGTTTTTTTTCTGTATCTCCACTAGTTTTATATGTTCATTTCAATAAATTTTCCTTACTACCTTGTTCTGCCCCAAACCTGGGGTAGGACAGAATACTTGATTAGGACAGAATACTTGAATACTGAAAAACAGCTGATTATTTATTAAGCATACTATTTTTTTTGAAAAAAGAATATAAATTATTGATTGTCTTTTTGTTTTGTTTTGTTTCTTGTGACTTCAACATAGATTATCTAAAATAGTGTTGATGTTTTATAAGTCACTACAAAGAGTATAAAGATACCGAACATAGAACGCTGTCGAATACGTAGCCAAATTTTTAAGCGTCTTAAAATATCTCAGTATCTTAAATGTCGTCCTAACATCTTAGTTGTGAAATTAAATTTTTAATTATCTGACCACGTGTGATTCACTAATTATTTCATTATATCTTTTACTCTTTTTTTATGATACCAAGTAGAATTTTTTCCTGATAATATACTAAACTATTTTGTTTAATTTTTTACTTTAGCACGATTCCCAAGATATTATTGTAGTATAATTTGCTATCAGGAAAATGCCTTAATTTGTTAAGCTGGAAATACTAAAAATTGAAATTTGTAAGAAGATTCCGAAGCCGTGCCAATTTTAGAGTCATCTGATTTTAAAAAAATGCTTTTCAAAATACGCAATTTCCGAACTTATTCTAATAAAAAAATGTGACAAGAAGACTAACATACTTTTTACAGAAACAGTGAAAACTAATTTTTCCTATATTTTGTCAAAAGAGGTTAAGTATGATATTGCTCCAAGGGACCTACTCAATAATTTTACTATTTCCAGAAGGAAATCTGTTTCATCGAAGCATATTATTCCATGAAATTAAAACCAGGAAAAAATTAACTTTTATTATTTATCTAAGCTTATTCCATTTATTTAATGATAGCGGTATTAAGGTCAAGGATATGTGATGGAAGCCCCGTTTACTATTATACTATAAATGCGTTAAATCATGTAGCTTGAATAATTTATTTTAAGCAAATTATTTAATATTTTTAAGCAAATAAGGTTGTAACATGATCGAAGTACGCCTAAAGTATACCCTAAAATATATGAATAATAAACTTCGGAACCGATAAATAAAAAATACATTTTCAAACAACTATGAGTAGGATGGAAACGCTAACTTGTCTGAAATAGCTGTCCTTGTAACTATTTAATTTTGCTAAGGAACATTTCATTTTTGAAATTTCAATTGTAAACGGATTTGTGTTATGTCCTTAAAAAATGCAAATAAGCCTAGCAGTTAAAAAGTTTTACTGTATTGATTTTTTTAAAAAGAAGTAACTAATTATTATTTTTTCAATCTAAGTACCTATGCCTTTATTTTACATAAAACTTATTTTAATATCGCGTGAAGTAATTGAATATACCATAATTTATGGAAGAAACGCCGTACCTATCGTAATCGCCGCACTCGCGATAATGAGACTTAAAAGAAAAAAAATCATGGTAAACGCGGCTAATGTTATAAACGCCGCACCCATAATAACGATTTTGCGGCAAAAGTGAATATATAACATTAATTCCTTATAAATACTACTAATGTTTCAAATTAAAATATAAATTAAAATTTATATATTATAATAAAATCCAGAATGTAATCTGTTATTGTATATTTTGGACAAACTGCCTAGAACAATATATTATCGGCTGTTGGCGCCATCTTTAGGTAAAAAATTTAAATAACTACATTTATATTAATTTAATATAAATGATTTTTTTACATTACTACGCATTTACATTTTATAATTATTATTTTTTATTTTATTTATTTATTTTTTGGAAACATACCTCTTTTATTTAACTAAGAAGATATCAGTTTCTAAGTCGCACCCATAACAACGTTGTAGCGGCAAAAATTAAATATATTAAATTAATGCTTTATAAATATTACTAAAATTTAAAATTAAAATATCAATTAAAGCATAAAATGTGTAGTCTAACAAAAGCAAGAATCTGTTATTAAACACTTTGGACAAACTGCTCAAAAAAATATTTTTACAATCGGTAATCGCTGGTGGCGCCATCTCTAGGTTAAGAATTATATAACTGACTGACATTGCAACATATTTACATTTTACAACTTTGGATCGCATCCACTTTGCACGCTTTTTAAAGTGGGTCGCATCCACTTAAAATTTAGGTTCACTCAAACCCTTCAAATTCGCTGCATTCAGAATCCGAATTAAACAATTGAAGCAATTTTTCATCCAATTCAGCATCATCATTATTTTCATCTGTCGTATCACATTTTTCTTTGATAGAAACACTCTGGATTATTTCCGCCTGCGAAAAACCTAATTTTATAGTGTCCGGAGAAATTGCTTTCCAAGCTTCTGAAACCCATCGAGCTATGAAGCTCTTTTCAAATTTCCGTTTTTTTCTGTACGCATGATTTTTGACAGCCATCCATGCGTCCCAAAGTTTTCTCATGTGGCTTTTGAAACTTCTATTTACTGTTAAATCCAGCGCCTGGAGTATTTTTGTTAGCCCACCTGGGATAACAGCTAAAGAAGCTGAAGCTCTTTTTGCTTCCTTTTTCACCAAGTCAAGCAAATGTGCCCACATCGAATCCATCATAAGAATGCCACTTGGCTTGAAAAATGACCTTTGCTACATTGATCCAGTCAAGCATTCTTTTCTTGCACATCCAGCCCTTCTCGTTGCATTTTATGACAACGTCACTTGGGAAAAGTTCCTTAGGCAACGTTTTCCGCTTGAAAATCAGAATCGGTTTTAGTTTTTCGCCATTAGCAGCACAGGCAAGCACACAAGTGAAGGATGTTTTTTCGTGGCCAGATGTAGCAATTGAAACGGTTTTATCACCGGTTTTATTTACCGTTCGGTTGGGTGGGCAATCGAACTTCAACGGAACTTTGTCCATATTGACGATTTGGCATTCTTTAAATCCTTTCTGAGCTCTTAAATCCTTCATATAATTCAAAAAGGATTATTTTTTTTCTTTCCAGTCATCTGGAAGACTTTGGCCGATCGTTGTTTTACTTCGCATAGATAATTTCTTTCCTGTCATGAACAGATGACACCAAT